CAGACAGAGTCTGAATTTCAGCACGCATACGGTCGATACGGCTTTCCAATGTCTTCACATGATCGGTTAACTGCTCGACTTGCTTGGCCTTCTCGCGGTATGCCTTATCCAATTGATCGCGCTGAAACGTTACGATGAGATCATGACGTGGATTATCTTAAATACCTCAGGAATACATGAGAATCTCAGCGATTGCGATGGGTCATTCTTCAACAAAAATATTGGAAGATTTTTGAAAAAAATCCCGTAATTTTAGCAATTGCGACCAAAAAACAGTCATCATAATAGAGGACTGTTGAAATCCAAGTCGTTCCGGATAAATTCATTTGATCTGATTGATCTGATTGGTTTTGGAACTAATCTTCTTCGTATAGCTCAACACTGAGTGCCGATGTGAGCTTGAAATTTGAAAGTTGAAACATTTTCGAACCTCAGTTCGGAGTTTATCGATCTCATCCGTCTGTTGCTTGTTGATATCGGTGAGCTGGGTGACCTTCTTCTTGAGACGCTCGATTTCGCTCACTTGCGATGCGTTCGTGTTCTGAAAACTCCATCAATCCACTAGAATCCGAATGGTTCCGGTTATCCCATATAAGATCCCACATATCCTTCAAAGGAAGCACTTCTCCATTTCTGTGGATTTGTTCACGAACCGACCACCGAAATTTTAATTTCAGTCTCTCTCTTCCCCCCCCAAAAAAATTCAAGTGAGCAATGAATTTCGCCTACCTTTAGCACATCAATCTGTCGGTTGAGGGTGTCGATTTCGGCACGTAGCTTGTTGTTCTCGAGTTGGGCTGCGTTGTATTGTTCCTCTACAGTGTTCAAACGAGACTGGGTTCTCTCCAAATCGCCCTCAAGTGTGGCCACAGTAGCCTTAGCATCTGCGACTTCCTCTTCCAATCGGCGAACGGTTGCACCGACTGAAATAGTCGACGGATTTAGGGTCTTCCGGCATAAGGTCTGTTAGAAGGTTTTCTAAGGTCTGTTAGAACTTGACAGCCTACTTAGCGAATACTTTCAAATGCCAAATGATCTGTAGAAGACTGCTGGATGTTCGAAAATCCATGATGAAAACACAATGTTATGCTTTAAAAATATTGCTCAAAACATTGCAAATTCACTGAGTT